GATCTTAGCACTTTCTCCAAACAGCCTGAGTTGTGCACAGTCCTCGCAGATCCAGCCTACCAGGATGTTGGGATTGCTGACAATTTGGGTGTACTCGTCGACCGAGTAGCCCATGCTACACACCTGATGCTGCCACATATTGCACTGGTCGCACTGGAACGCCTGCTGATTGCGAAAAACGGTCTTCTTGCAGGAGATGCAGGGGTACTTTAATGGCATCTTGGATCTTGACTCTTGAGTTCTTGAAACTGGGTTCTTGAAAGCTGACTTGGACAGGCCTTGTCTTGACAAAGTTGTTCGACAAAACTCTCCTTTTGTAGAAATACGAGGGATTTGTGGTACATACCAACCCACCAATTACATTTCAGATTTCCCTTTTTTGGAAGAGCCGCAATCCATCCCGTTAGCGGCTCTTCAAAATTTACTCAGAAAAGCGGCTTCCTATAAGTGGTAAAATGAGCCTACTCGTAGGCATACATGTACATGTATGCTTCAGCAGTTGCAGCGCTGCATGGGGCGGATAGGATGAAAGGTGAAAGGTGGGGCTGCTGTATCTTTAGAACCACTGATTAGCAGGCACTGAAAGAGGCTTCACTGGGTTGGTTTGTGATTGACACAAATTTCCAAAAAAAAAGCTTCAGGCAAAACTTCTGAAACTTGACTGGCATAGAACCACCGATGAGCAGACAGTGAAAAGTGCCTTACATGTAATCCCCATGTCCATGATACAACGAGTGAACCAGATGGACAACTTCCTTATGTTAATTTATGCCTTCACGTAGAGTCACCAGCATATGAGTAGAACACATACTTAACAACACACTTGTATCACGCACTATCTTGGTTGTCGGTACATTAACGAATTATGATTAAAGGTGCCTTTCCGGATGATGTGTTCATGCGTTTCACTTTTACGGAACCATTTTGACGGATATACAACATATGCAACGGTTGGCACATGCACCAATGCGCATGTGGACAGGTGCCTCACTTCTTGTGAAATAAGTTACTTACTGTAATTAACAAGCCTGCATCAGGGGATTTGTTGCTATCTGCACTAAACGCACACGAGACCCCATGAAAGCATGCCCTTTTCGTTGTACCCTTACAAGACTACATGTACCTGACCCTGGGGGCCATGTTTCTCCAAAGCTTCCTTGATACTGTGCAGTGAAGATCATCAGTTAGAAATATTCACAATATTATACATGGATCATGCAAATGCTTCTCAGGGAAGAGTACCTTGGCATCTCTCTGTCACATGTGGTAGCTGAGAGAATGAATATCAGTTGATAGAAATACAATATACGATACATGGTTCATCCAACAGAATTGTCATTCTCCAATTCAAGTATAAACATTTTTAGCATGAAAAACACATACAAAGAGAGTCTCTGGTCTTTTTGAGTTGGGTACATGCCTTGAGTTGGGGCAGGGATTGCTGTTACAGCTTGGGCTTTCACTGCTGTTGTCCTTGCATACTGGCCCTGCCAGAGCTTTCTTGAAAGTAAACAAATCATTTAAAACCAAAGTTTATGTCTCATTACCACATAATGTTCAAAATGTTCTTTTAACAGCTGGAGCAAATGCAACTCACACATACACCTGTCACTGTCATGTTTGTTGTCTCCATCCAATATGCTTTGACTTGTTTCATGATCTTCTTTTCCTATATGTATTCCAGCAGGCCTGGTGTGTGTGAACATACCTCATCAAGGCCTGCTGTAGTTACAATGAGCACTGTGAATATTGATATCACTAGTTAACGCCTGAAGCAATAACAGTTCCTTATTGACTGAGATTGTGCACAGATAAAATAAAAGACAAGCATAATTTCTTATGCTTATATGTATAAATAAAACAAAGTAGATAGCTAGCTTACCTTTGCCTAGACAATTCTTAGTCACAGTTTTCTGGTTTGAATATATGCACAACCAAATCAAACAGACTTGCACACTTTGAAGGTTCAGCTGTGTAGAGACCTGGTGTGGATATTAATGCCATGATTTCCACTGAACTCAACTCCAGTAGCTTCTTGGTGTCACGAGAAAAATCCGATTCTGATCCTTTCCGATTAGAATCTTGTCTGTGCATCCAGACTGTTCATCTGCTTCAACCTACATGTACTCCAGTAAATCAATTTGGAGTGATTCTTATCCGTACACTTTTTACTTTTTCAGAGTACATCAAGTTGTCTCTATCAGCTGCATTGTCAAATGTGAAGGTATTATGCACTTCAAGTACCTTCTCCTCAATTAAATGGAGCAATGTGGATCTCTCTACATGCATTGATTTTTGTCCTTACATGATGCTGACAGCATTATGTAAGGACAAAAAGGAGTTGGATTGCGGAGAGGATAGTGGAGTTGGAATCTTTGCTTCCATGTGCTCCAATATCCACTTGATTTCCATCGACACACATTATCTCTGGGACTTGATTCCGTCTATACTCCAGAAATATCATTCATTCACTTCTTGCTCCATGACAATATGAAAGTAACAAGGACGGATGGAATAAATTTCACTCAAATGTCAGAGAGCACTCTCAGCATGCAAGTTAGTTCAGTAGTTCCTGTATGCATCCAATCAATAGAAGGGTGCTGAGCAATGATTACTGATGAGTGCCAGGCAATGAACACAATGACATGCGCGCCTGCTTTTTGATCAAGAATGAGCCTTAAGTTGAGGTCTTCGTAATGTTGGAAATATTAGAATGAGCCACTGCACGTAGGTAACCTCCGTGCACTGAATTGTGTAAAGTCTCTTGTAGTCTTGCAGAATCCTGCAGAATTATGCCAATAAGTTAGTGAGGTGGAACTTATATTGGTACCAAATTGTTATTTGACCACATTCTGAATTTCTTCAATGAAATTAATTACATTAATTAAATTAATGATTTTTCAAGACAATCGATGAAAAATCTAATATTGGAACTCAGAAATAATGGTGGTTTTGCGGTGCCTTATTCCATCAGCCATCCAATGGATGGTTCTTATATTAACCTGTTCAATTTGGTTTGATTATCTTCTTGTTCAATCACATGAACTGTTTCAGTTTTACAGATTATTTTTATTTTCAATTTGATTGGTAGTCTCTATGTTTTCTTCATAAATTTTAAGTTGATAATATTGTAATTTAATCACTGAAACTGAAATTAAAAAAAATTAAAAAGAGAAAGGTTACCAATGTTGACTAAATTCTGTGTTTCTGACAAAGTAAGGGGTCATCCATTTCTCTCATCTTGGCGAGTGTACAAAACAAAAAGAAAAAATACTCTTTTCTGTGACCCCCTCCTGAAAAAGACTTACACGGAAAAAGAATGAGCCCTGGGTGAAAAACACTCACTGGTTGTTAAACCCCCAAATATATTTGGTAAACTCGTGAAAATGATGAAAATAAAATGGATGAGCCCTATTGACAGTTTTTTTTAAACCCTCAGGTGCCATGTGTCCCTCTGAGTTTAAAAACACCATGTCCCACATTACAGCAGTCAACATCGCTTCTAACTGATCCTGGATCCATAATACAGCAGAATTAAATATCACAGGCAAAAACCAAAAATGTATCCACAGGATTCATTTTTGGCATGTACATTAACTACACTGATCAAGTTTTGCTACAAAAAATTTAATTTACAAAGTTTACAGTACAAGGTATCTAAAATGTTAACACTGTTCGGTAAGTCGTAAAGCAATTTCAAGTGGACAGGTAGAGTATCATATACAGTTTTTGTAAAGAAACTGGCATTTAAGAAAATTATTCTCTTGCATGAGGACTAGGCAGTCCTTCCACTGCTTTGAACAAACACTTCCAAGTTGGAATTTTGGAGAAAAACGATTGTACTCACAAGGCTCCAGATGTATTTGCATAGGTGTTTTTTCTTTTTGAACAGAGAATGGAAGCTTCAGCGGGAGGAAAACATATGAAAGATGGCAACCCTGGATTTGGAAAGATTTCATTGTGAGGCTAACATTTCTCCCAGTAATGAGGTTTTTGTGCTAAATATGTAATTACTTGTGAACACTTCTTTTGAAAAAAATATATATATTCATCATGCTTCACCAGTCTTTTGAAAATAAAATTGCAAAAAGCAATACTGTACACATGGGACTTGGTGTTATAAAACTTGCAAAAGTTTTGATCTTTTTAGTTTACATGTAAATTCTGGCGACTGCGTGACTACAGAAATCTAGGTGACTTAAATAAATTCAAATTTTGTTCAGATTTACTCTCAAGATGTTTCTTTCTGTACAACCAAAACTCTGACATCTTGTTTAGAATATGCCTTTAAAAAGATTTTTTTAAAAACAGATCTGGACGGTTTTTAAGCTTGGAATTCATGAGATCTTTACATACCTCCTGTACAGCCGAACCCTTCTCCAAAGGCAACAGTATAAATTTAGTAACAAATGTCTATGTGGACCGGACTAAAAGTCTTGACTCCAAATACAGAATTTTGAACACAAACATTGCAAAGAATTAAGTTTACGTGCAAAGGAAGCTGCAAACTGGTTCATGACTTTACAACGTCACTGGGAAGCGGCTACACGGTCAGACTATGCAATGCACAACTTTTTAGACATGCTCTAACCACTTGCTGCCGGGTGGATTTTTCTTGAGCAAGACAAGATGCCACGTCCTTTTCAAGATTTTCTGTTTTCAAAATTCTTCAGAAATTCAGCATTTCATTCAATGGCCGTTTATACCCACATGAAGGACTCTTTGGGTACTACTCTAAAGCTAACAGGTGACCTTCATTGACTCCTGAATATTTCAGCCAGGCCTGCAGCCTTGGAAAAAGAGCCCAGATTGTGCAGTGTTACGTAAGATTCTTTTGTTCCCCAAACTGGCACAGTGCACTGCTGACCTCTTTTCAATAGGGGCCAGATTAGCGTGCAGCGGTGGTGTGTGGCTCATCGCTGCGGTGGAGTGCTTTTGTCCCCGGTGGTAATCTACTCACTCTAAATGCCTCAAACTGTGGTATACTGTTTCAAAACAAGGCTGGATTATCTCCACTATTGAGAGCGCAAAAAATGTTTGTAATGCCCAGCAGCTCAATCTTTTGTGCTGAGCACGTTCTTCTGTCTCAGTTCCGGGCTCCCTGGCTCTGCAATTAAAGCCTATGTACATGAAAACGGGTAGCCTGGCAGGAAGTGGTTAAGTCTTGGATCTAGACTTTTCTTCCCGTGAGTGCATTTGATTACGGCCCAAATGCTTACCCTTGACGTTGTCATTGGTTTAAACCAGGCATGTGCAATATTGGTCATGAATTAATGATCTTGGTTTACTCACGGTGCTCTCACCAAACCAAAAGCTCATGCGGTGATCAAGTTTGTAACTTGAATTCAAACTGAAGAAAGCAACTTATATTCAAACAAACATTTAAGGTAAGTGTGAGAAGTCACTTGAAGATAACATTAAGCACAGTTGTGCCTTGACAAGAGCAAATGTACTGACAGTGTACAAAACCCATCACAAAAAATCTTTTGTTATCATAAAAAGCTTACTATACACAACATGGTAAAGACCAAGGGTCAAATAGTCTCCATTCTGCAAATCCCACTTGCCAAGAAGGGACAGATTTAACCGATGACCATATCCACTGAGTAGCCGCCACCCATGTGAAGACCATACAGCCCCCATTGAAACTGATGTACTCCAAACCAAAGATACACAAACCTGCATAACCCCCACTAGCACCATAGTTGTGGGTATCACACATGTTAAGTGATAGTTTCTTTGGGAGCAAATTTATTACGGTACAAATTTTTGGACTCACAACCAAGCAGGTCCTTGATTTCCCACTACAGACATTGTCCCCCTCAATGTGGGGCCAACCAGGGCATATGTACCGGCACTGTAGCTTTGGGGAATACACATGTTGAATGACAGTTGTTATGGGAACAAGTTTCTGTCGCTACGTTCGGTTAGAAATTTCCAAACAACATGTGAAGCTAGTCTGGGTATCAACATCATGTGTGGCCCTAAAATGGACATTGTTACCATAGAACAATGCGTCACCTCTTGTTCACATATATACAGAGCTCAAAGGCAAATCCAGGCATATGGTAACTGTACTTTGAGAAGGCCTCCAGACATGGCAGAAGCAATGTATTAGCAATGTATTGTTATAGAAAAATCTTCACTGGTCCATTATTTTGCATAAACCTAGAAACAATGCTTCCACCATAACTGAGGCTTCCAGTTAGAGTGCTTACATATCTGCATTTGTCTATAAGGGTGTGTCGGTCACTTTGCCCTGTTTCCACTTTGCCCCTTACCACTTCACCCCATTGCCATTTTGCTCCATCCCCACTCGGCCCCATCCCCACATCGCCTTGCCGCCACTTCGCCCCCAGCCGTGCTTGAACGTGTTCGGAAACTTTGGCACAAACAAGGCACTTTTCTTGTAGCGTGGACTGACACCAGGTGACAATGATTTGATAATAAAATTGGAATAATGAAAGAAACAGTATCATTTCTTAAAACTGTCATCAAAGTTTCTCCTGTAGTTTTCCATGGATCCCCCACAGGCCTAGGCTACATTTACATTTTCTCTTCCATTTTAATCCTTTCATTTGAGCCTCAAGGCCTTCTTTTGAGAACCCATTTCCAAACAAACTTGAACTTTTAAAGACAAAAATGCATATCTCTACTTTTCATTCTCCTTTAGCAATTATATTCACCTGATATAGTCAAGAATCACAACAACCCTAAAGTTTCAATAATGATATTTTCGTAAAACTAGGCACATGCAATTACAACTTCAGCATAACTTCACTCCTTGTGGCACCAAGGAGTTTAGTGCATTTATATAGGCCCACTGCCTGGCTGTGTGACGTGACTCCATGTCGGATTTGACAATGGATCATGTTTACTGTAACATTTTCCCTGGCAAATTGAATGAATTTGAAGCTTTACTTTGGCTGGGCAGATAAACTGTAAATGTTGCAACCTTCATCAGTAGGTTAAAACTAAACTCGTAGATGTTAAAAGTTTACACTGGGGCTAAGTGGTGATGGGGGGATTGGGCGAAGTGGCAGTGGGGCAATGTTAAAATTCTGCAATATATGGGCAAGTTCAATCCGAGACAAATTGCCAACAATGATAAATTTTGACTGGTAACCAACAATGATAAATTTTGACTGGTAACCTATGCATGACATATAAACTGGGTACCAGACAGCAATCGACCTGTGGTTGACAAACTGTCGCTACTCAAACTTGCCTTATGTACTAAAATAGTGCACACAGTTTGGTTACTGGTCACTTCAATGACTTCTACCAGAAAGCATCTTTTGTTCAACAACAGAAATCAATACAGGCACCAGGCCAACAACAGCCTCTGTCAGACCATCAGGAGTGATATGATGAATGTTCTATCTGGGCTAGTTTCTCCTCCTTCAAGCGCTGGATGGAATTCATGAAGTCCTCAAGTCTGCCTCGGCCCGAATCACCAGCTGTATGTGGATGTACAACAAAAGCAAAGACTATTAGGGTGGGACACTGAACATAAGCTCTGTAATGGGATCTATGAAACAGACTCTTGAGGGCAGCGTGTGGCGTGCTCGCATCAGAAATGTGATGTAATCTGTGAAAACCTTTCACATTGTGAGCTTGGTCATTTCGGTATATATCAACTTCAAATTGATCTGGACATGTCCTATTTTCAAAACTGTTCATGATTCTAGACAACCTAGATTCAAGTTGAAGACAATACAGAATCATAAATGGAATATATCTGAAAACAAGAGTGTGTCCATATTAATTGGGAGTTTATATGCACCCAAATGACAAAGTTCACCATGTAAAGGGTTTTCACAGATCGCATTTCAAATAAGAATTACCAAAAGTGCCATCACAAAGAACTTGCCATGTCCAGTTTTCTTTGAAAAGTTACCAATTATACAGCTCTACAATTTTTTTTTGAACGCCATCACACTTTTCACATGCTCATTTCACAAAAACAAATTTAACAAAGGCTTTGTGTGGTAGCCATCTTGCATGGCAGTTCTTTTGTTCCACACGGAATGTCCTTTGTGCATACCATGTGGAACAAAAGCACTGGCCAGTAAGATGGCAGCCATGCAAACCCTCCATAAGAAAACTCTTGGCTCTTGTGATTCAAAATGAGAGTCAATACCTGTTTGTCGTTGCTTTTGTTGGACTGGTCTTGAGGGAGAGGTTCGTCGATGGCGCTGGCTTGAGTAGGTACGTGAGGGGACTGATGTAGGGGGTGGTTGGTCTATCTAAAAATGATCACAGAATGTCCCTGTGAACTCAACTTGTACCATACCAGACAGAATGAAATTTACATATTACTCTAACTACTGGCAGAAAATACAAATGGGCCACGTTATGGGCCAGGCCACATTAACCACTTCCTGCCGGGGACTCTGGAATCGGAGACGTATGGTTTATATGCGTGGCCGGGGTCTCCGAACTCGGACAAAGGAAACAGGGCCCTGTAACAAAAGACCATACTCCGAACAAAAGACAGGCTGCTGGGCATTACCAACATTTCTCACTCTCAAAAGTGGTGATAATCCAGCCTTGTTTTGAAACAGTATACCACAGTTTGAGGCATTTAGAGCGAGCGGATTACCACCGGGACAAAAGCGCTCCACTACCGCAGCGATAAGCCAGGCAGCACCGCTGCACGCTAATCTGGCCCCTATTGAAAAGAGGTCAGCAGTGCACTGAGCCAGGTTCGTGAACAAAAGACAGTTATACAACACCGCACAATCTGGGCTCT